CCCGGGGGGAGCGCCGCCCGAGAGCACTCCCACCGGGAGGGCGTGGGCGCGGCAGCCGGCACGAGTCAACGACGAGGCCGGGCGGGCGGGGGGCGCGCCTGGGTCGGGGGGCGGCATCTCTCCCGCCTCGAGAGCTTAATCGGCTCCAGAGGAGATGCAGAGAGAGAGAGGCCTGCAATGCCCGCCGAAGTGGTAGGGGGAACGCACGTACGACAAAGCCGGCGGACGTTTCGCTTTTCTGGCTGGTGATCCTTCCCACGCCCGGGCGTTTTACTAGGGGGGAAACTGTCCGGGTAAAGCAGCACGCCTCTACCCACCTGGCTCCCTCTCCACACACATGTACATGTACATGCACATGCACCTCTGCAGCACGGCAGCACAGCAGCAGGTCCCTCCCAGGTGGGTCGCGTATAGCACGGTAGCACAGCAGCACGTCCCTCCAAACCCACCTCCCGGGCACCACCGCGGGCCACAGCAAGCCAGCACGGCAGCACGTCTCCTCCGCCTGGCTCCCCTCTCTATGGTCGCGTATAGCACGGTAGCACAGCAGCACGTCCCTCCAAACCCACCTCCCGGGCACCACCGCGGGCCACAGCAAGCCAGCACGGCAGCACGTCTCCTCCGACCTGGCTCCCCTCTCTATGGTCGCGTATAGCACGGTAGCACAGCAGCACGTCCCTCCAAACCCACCTCCCGGGCACCACCGCGGGCCACAGCAAGCCAGCACGGCAGCACGTCTCCTCCGACCTGGCTCCCCTCTCTATGGTCGCGTATAGCACGGTAGCACAGCAGCACGTCCCTCCAAACCCACCTCCCGGGCACCACCGCGGGCCACAGCAAGCCAGCACGGCAGCACGTCTCCTCCGACCTGGCTCCCCTCTCTATGTAGCTACCCTTTAGCACGGCAGCACAGCAGAAGGCCCCAGCCCGGCTGGGTCCCTGCCTCCGTCCCGTATAGCACGGCAGCAACGCAGCACGTCTCCTCCGGGCACCACCGGGCCACAGCAAGCCAGCACGGCAGCACGTCTCCTCCCACCTGGCTCCCTCCCTCCCACCACCCCCCTCTCTCTCTCTCTCTCTCTCTCTCTCTCTCTCTCTCTCTCTCTCTCTCTCTCTCTCTCTCTCTCTCTCTCTCTCTCTCTCTGAATAATAATATTTTATACTAATAATAGTAATAATAATAAATAATAGTAAATAATAGTAATAATAATAATAAGTAATAATAGTAATAATAA